CTTCCTTGGGAGATTCGGAATCTGGGCTCACTCTCCACAATGGTGGTCCTCCCGGAGCCGTCGTCATTGATCTGCTGGATGTTCCCAAAGTGGATGTCACTGAAGAAGATGCGGTTGGGGGTGCCCGGGGAGGTGCCTGCTCGGTAGTCGAAGGCCAGAGCAATGACATTTTTCATGTGCTTAGGGTCCTCGAAGGCCTGCACGGGCGCGTTGAGATTGCGCTCATCCGACAGGTGGATGCTCTTGAGGATGGTGCGCTCCGAGTAGAGCAGGTAGCCAGCATACTCGCGGCACGACGCCCCGTCTTCAGCCAGCATCCCGTGGGCGCAGGCGCAGGCCCGCTGCCCGCCACCCCGGTACAGACACAGCTGCTGGCACCCACCGTTGGCCACTGCACACACGTTGGTGCCTGGGGGAGGGCGCAGGAAAGGAGGAGGTGATGGAGGGCGGGGCCTGCCTTGGGGGAAGACTCATGGGCGCCTGTGTCATCTCAGCTGACGTGGGAACTCTGGGCCCCCTCCTCTGCCTCCCCCAGTTCAGACACCCTCCAGCCAGCACCAGTCCGGTCCTAGGGCTCCCCAGCCCCTGCTCGCCAACCCTGGGTCTCCAGGGCCCCGGGAAAGTGCCCCTTGGGGTCTCACTTCTCTCCCAGCCCCCTCGCTCTGGGTCCTGGGGGTGAGCACGCAGGCCGGGCCCCCCGGCCTCACCTTTCTGGCGGTCCCGGTTGAAGACCTTGATGTCTTTGAGCTGGACACCGATGCCCGTCCGCAGGGGCACCGAGTCCGTGGCATTGTCTTTGCTCCCGCGCTTGATGGAGCCATTGGCGTGAGTCCTGGGGGAGGGAAGGGCCATGAGCAGGACGTCCACCGGGGCCGGGAGGGAGGGCACAGACGGGGCGGATGGGAGGCTGGCACGGACGCCCTCACCTGTCACTCCAGTAGATGAAATCCTCAAACACAGACACGGAGAACATGTCCATGTTGTTGCTGGACAGAACCACCTCGCGGTTCTCCCCCGTCTCCAGGTCGATCCGCTCGATCTTGTCCGTCCGGGCGTCGCACCAGTACAGCTTCCCATCCTACAGGCCAGAGGCACCACCTCACCTCCAGCCCCAGGCCCCATCCGCCCCCACCCGACCCGTCACACTCACTCCCAACTCTTCTGTCTCTCCTCCTTCCTCCACCTCTTCCACTCTCCGACCTGCTGATCTGCCGGCCTCCAGGGTTCCCTCCAGTCCCCACTCTGGGTGACCCTCCCCCAACACTTCTAGGGTGGCAGGAGTTCTACTCTGGGGGGGGCTGGGCCAGAGGACTCCGTAACTCCCTGTGCCCATATCTTCCTACCAAATGGGGGGCTGTTACAGGGGGACTGGGGGGGGGGCTGGGCCAGAAGACCCCGTAACTCCCTGCACCCATATCTTCCTACCAAGTGGGGGGCCATTACAGAGGGATTCACAGGGGAGCAGGGCATGGGATGAGGGGAGCTTCCCCCAGGGCACGGGGTCCTTGCCCCCGGCCCCTGGGCCACGCCTGCACCCACACCTGATAGTCCACCGAGATGCCGTTGGGCCAGCTGATGCTGACGTTAACCAGCACCACGCGCTCGGTGCCGTCCAGCCGAGACCGCTCAATCCGTGGGTACTGGCCCCACTCGGTCCAGAACAAGTACCTGTGGGACGGAGGGGCACAGGGGCTCAGTCCCCAGAACACGGAGGCGAGGGCCCTGTCAGTGCGGGCTGTGGACTGGCCGGCCTGCCTGGCTCCTCACCCCTTCTCCGGATGGACGGTGATGGCCCGGGGCTTGTCCAGGCCCTGGGAGATGACCACGTAGCGGAAAGAGCCATTGAGCCGGGCGACCTCGATGACGTCAAAGCCCTGGTCCGTCCAGTAGATGTTGCCTGAGGAAGGAGTAGGTGCTCAGGGGGTGGGGTGGGAGCACGCGCACGGGGGCCCCTCCCAGCCCCAGGTGCCCCTGCCGCTCCCCCGTCTGTTCCTGCCGGCCCCTTCTCCTCAGACCCCTCCTGCCAGGACCCCACTTCCCCATCCTCTGCCTCACACGGAGCCTGCACCCTGCCGTGGCTCACCGGCAATCCAGTCCACGGCGATGCCCTCCACGCGGCCGATGCCATTGGTCACCACATCCTCACGCCACGTCTGGTCTCGCTTAGCCCGGCTGATGGTGCTGAGGCCCATGTCCACCCAGTAAATGGTGTCATTTTCTGAAGGTGGAGAAGCCAACGTGGGGATGCCGAGCAAGGCAGGGCCAGGGGGGGTCACAATCACGTGGGGTCAGGACAGAGGTGAGTGGCTGCTGGGAGGCTTGAAGGGCAGATGGAGAGGGGTGGGCAGCTCTGCTAAGGGCCTGAGGTCAGGCAGCCTGACCCTGGACCCCAAGCACACCACCCCCAAAGGTCATGCTCCACTACCTCCTGCATCGAATGGCTCACCAGCATGGAAGTCGATGCCGACAGCCAGGGAAGTCCCGGACACTGGGACCAGGGCGTCCGACTTGTCGTTGGGATCCAGGGGGATTCCGCGGATCCCCTCATGCACAGAGTACAGGAGGAAAGAGCCCACGCCTGAAACACAAGAACACTGCAGGCATGAACCTCACCGACACCCCTTTAAACTTGGCTTCTGTCACCCTCACACCTGTTCTTCTATACAGCCCCTTAAAAATATATATATATCTACACTAATAAAAGAGAAATATGGTAATTAGCATACGACCGCTACCCTTCCCATTGGCTAATCAGCATATCCTTATGCAAATTAACTGTCAGCCAAGATGGCGGCCGGCAGCCATGCACTGAAGCGAACA